AGAAGAGGAAGGAAGACGCGTGCCTCGAAGCGCTCGATCACTCGTAGAATACGCGAGTAACGAATAGTATGCTAATCCGTGAACGTTACGGCGATGCTGCTCGGCGAATCGTTTCCAACTTTTCGAATTGCGCCGCGTCTTCCGTGTTACCTCATCGGTTAGTGGAAAGCGGTAGTATGTTCTTCCACTCGGAGAAGTCCGTGAGAAAAACTCACTCCATCGTAGCAGTAAGAATGTTTCGCCCAAGTTCACTCTCGGGCGATCGGTGTACTCGCGATGTAAAATAAATCTCGACCCGACCGCGCCGCAGACTTCGGAGATTCCCATCTCCAATGAAACCAAGACTGATACTCTAATTTCAGAAAGTATGATACCTTTGAAATTTTTCATTAGAGATTTATCGCGAGCCCTTTATCCGCGCTGTACACATTACAAATCGTATTACGGACTTTAGAGCCCCGGAATAATCCGTATGTCGCGCGAAAAGGGATAAAAAAAAAAACTACTGCGATACTCGCTATGTACGTATCGCGGATTTTTGGAATACGGTGTAAATTCGCGAAATACGAGAGACGTGCGATGACACGGGGAAAAAAATCTGAAACGGAGCAAGATCGCGCAATCAAATATTTTCAAGGCGGATCGACACATTTTTGACATGACGATAGATAAACACACGGCAGCGCTTTTTGTGAAAATTCTGCTTGAAAAAAGGATCCATGAGTTGATAGAAATTTTCACGCGTTCGTGATTTGAACCGAACTTGTTTGCGAAAAATCAATCTTGATTGCACGATTCGTAACACCTGTAGACGGTTAAGTCCGATGCGTACATCTGCGCGAGAAGATTAGTACAGTATCGGAACATTTTAATAGAATCGATTGTCTTACAGATACGAATTGCGAAACGACCTCTTCCTTCCGACATGAAATAAAATCGAACGACGCCATTTACCGAGTACTCGTCGTTCTCTCGCGTCGTTGTCCCTGTCTTAAATGAAACGCCCGAATGAAAAACAGCACTCGTGGCTTAGTAACCATTGAAGGAATAACTATCGACGAGGCTTTTGTCTTCTGGGTCACGAGCAAGCTCGATGATTCGCTTGTACTAAAATCAACCGAAAAGGAACGGAACGAGCATGAGCAAAGAAAGGAGGAGACAAGGAGGGAAAAAGGGAGAAGCTAAGCGAAGAAAGGAAAGGGATCTCTCTTGAAAGAGCTCGCGAGCTGACGACAACACACGGCGAATGCATGCAGCGCGGTAATCCCGAAGGAGAACAATTTTATTTGTTCCACCAAGAGCACATTCCCTCTCTGGCTCCATCCATTTCGAACTCAATTCTCGGATCACCTAGTCAAGCTACTGCTATCCTTCCTTTAGCTTGTCTCCTCATCTACACGTGACGCATAAGAATACGCGCGATCGTGCCATTCCCCGGCATTATATACGTATATTCTTGAAACGAGACGCCTCGCGCGATTATATTTTATATTAACGCATTGTATTTTATATTATAACGGCATATATGCAGCAAGTTTTTAGCTAAAACGAAAATTCCTCCCTTGTGCTTCAATTCCATTACAGTCGGAAAGTCCTTCGAATAAGGCTCTTACAAACACAAAAGTAACGAACGATCAATGCCAAGGCATACTCGGTAACGGTGAGTGATGCGAAGGTTTTCGCATCTGCATCTGCTCGTTAAGCGAAGTAGAAGGAATAATCGTGACTCGTTAGTCGCTATCGAGATTCCACGCGTAGGTCTCTACTCTCTCCTTCTATCTCTTTTCCTTTTCTCCATCTTTCTCTCTCCTTCTCGCGCGCGCCCCGTCGTCTCGCTCTCTTTCACACCGAACCGCGTATCCTGTCATGCATATGAATGAAACTGTTTTGCCGCGAGCCGAAAAAACGTCACGCTGTTAAACGACTCGCGCTTATTCATAGCCGCAGTCAACCAACATCGTCCCTGCTGCCCCCGATGGAACTTCGAGGTTCGAGGGACGATAATTCGAAGCTCGTTCCGGGCGTTCCCTTTGGGCCCTTTGTACGCTGGCGATATCGTTCGAAGAGAGTGCACACGTATCCACACGTATCCACACCACCTTTCACCGTTGCTCGTTCATCAAACAAATTAGCGATCCAGCCGATTTAACGAGAAAATAACTCGGAAAATAACTGGGCTTGAATAAATTTTTTTTTAAACGAATACAGCATTCGTTAAATTTCTTTATAATTTGTACAACAAGATTGATAATTAGAAAGAGAACTAATTATGAGAGATTAATTATCATAAAACTGAATGTTTTCCATAATCTTTCTCGTCTAGAAAGACTAGCGTTTTATTATATGTGAAAATAAAGTAAAAGTACTTCTTCGCACGCGCCTGTAATTCGCAATTTTTCAATACGCATTTTCACGATTATCGAAAGCGAGGAGAAAACATGGGAATCAATCTTGCGAGGGAGATGTATTCAGGAGATACGCGTGTATACGTTTCCGCTGCAAGGATTTGAAAAATGTTCATTTTAATGGTTGATGTAACACGAATATTGGTTACCACCGAAGTGTTACGTGGTTCGAGTTTTGAGCAGGAAGCACGTACACTGTAGAATGTACGTATACATCATAATATACGTCGTAAGATACGAGAATATGTCGCTTAAAATCAAGTGCACGCAAAAAGTGAAAAATGCAAATTCGCTTTGATCGCGCGTATAGTACATTGATTCTGACGAAACCATATTGTCGCGCCGCCAAACTTCACCCTCGCACCGCAAAGTTACACGAACACCCGCCGGTTGGCATAATTTCACGTCGTTTTAGCGGCTCAGAACTTTTTAGTCAAATTGAGTAACGGATCGTGCATTGAATGCAAATGACCGCGCGACATAACGCGCGATAGGACTCCCCGTTCGTTCCTTGTCTTTTTTTCTTTTCTTTTATTTTTTATTTTTTTTTTGCGGCAAAGTTGGCGGCCAAACTTATGCGGTCGAAGTTATGCCGCGCGCACTTCCATGATTCCGCACCGCTCGTCGTCTATAGGATGCTCGGAAAAGTTTGCTTTTGACGCGGCGGGTTGCACGTGACGAATTCAAATCAGGCGTAAATACTTAAAGCAAACACGCCGTGCGAGAAGGGAAGGAGGGAGAGGAACCAACTCAGTTTTAAAATAAAGCATTAGAAGAGTGACGACAAGGTTGTTAAGAAGGGCGGCGCCACCTCGAGGCCCGTCTTCCTCTCTCAAAGTTTACGGCCAACTTTGCGTAAACTCGCCAAGTTTAGTAGTGAACTAGTTCATTGAACACAAATTGTAATCACACGATGAATGAGTCGCGGATATTTCGACTGCCCTGCGTGAACACACCAATAAAATTGAAATCGATCACACGATCGATTCCAACGGCAGGATCAAGATTCCGTAATCGGAATAATTAAGTAAATTTTACGTGAAATCCATCGATTATATTACTTTGATGCAAAATATATTCCAATTAAATCAATTAAATTATATATACATGTCCCAGAGAGAATTTGTTATAATTTGCGAAAAAGAATTTAATTTAACCTGAGAAAGATTTGAAATGAATCGAAATATCTATTTGGTGATCATTCTAAAAGCAACTGCATTGAAGTTAAATATTTAAATATACCCCATTACTTTTGTAAAATCTTTATCTATTATCGAAATTTTACACTGAAATATCATTTTCTTTTTATTTTCATTTTCTCTAATATACCGAGTAATTAAGGTTGACCACAACTGGCAATTTTAATTCGAAATCAAAATTTCACAACGTTTCGACCATAGGTTTTGGCCCTTTTCAAGTGAACTACAAAAAATTAATTCAATATTACAAAAATAAAATAATTGATATAAAATAATAAAATAAAATAATTAATTTTTTGTAGTTCACTTGAAAAGGGCCAAAACCTATGGTCGAAACGTTGTGAAATTTTGATTTCGAATTAAAATTGCCAGTTGTGGTCAACCTTAATTACTCTGTTTTATTTATTTGCTGGCGACTTTGAAGTTTTTTTAATTTCTCTAATATGTATTTCACATTTATAATTATATCAAAGTTATCGCTATACAATGTATAATAAATACAATGTATAATAAATAAAAAGAAAAGAATGGTTTATTTAATATTTACGTTTTATCTCTACTTCGGAAAATAAAATTGCTAGACTGTAAGAAATTCTCGTGTATCGGAAAATTGTTCTCATATATATAGCTAACAGCTAAAAGCAATATAAGTGGGGCAAATAAGTTCTCTCTCTTTTTTAACTCGTCCAAGAACAGAAGAATCGCATTTGAACTTTTATATCTCCTTCAATCATATACAACGGTATATTAACGATAACTATACGTTACTGATAAAAATTGCAAAAGGTAAGATTGGAAAGTATCATTTATAACAAACTAATAGAAAACTAAGATTTTAAATTAATTCATAGAAAATTAGAAAGAATGATTAAACGATTTACGTCGAAATAATTGATAGAAAGAAACGTTACCCAATTTCACGGTAGACGGATTAATGCACAGTAATTAATAATATCTTCAAAGTTTCTAACTCTAATAAAATTTAGAGTTTAATAAAGATATCTATCTGAGAGAAACGAAAACTAAAAGCTCAATGTAGCAACTCGATGAAGTTTATTGGCACAACACCAAACGCCCAGTACGACACAGAATGAGTTTTTAATTCACTAGTGACGCTCATTGGGCCGGAAACCTAACAACCCCGTTCAAATCTCACAGGTTGTCAAGAATAAAACTTTAATCAATATATCGCGCTAAAATCTCCACAAAGATAATTGTATATAATGAATATACACATGATTATATTCATTATTTAATTCAAGCTTTTATTAATTCGAGCTTTTAATTCGAGAAATCTCTGTTATTCAAAGTGTGACGTTAGCGCTATTCTGGCTACATTTATTTTCACCAAAAAGGCTAGAAAAGAGAAGGAGGTAAAGAACATTCCGCTACCTACCTCGCACGATGAGCTTGATCACAGCTTCCGGCGCATTCCGGTTGTTCACGAGACACTCGTACATGCCGGTGTCGGCGGCGGTGACGGGATGCAGCTGCAACGAATAATTTTTCAACGACAGGGACATTCTGTTCTGTTCCGTTCGCCGTACGACGGTTGTACTCTTGCTCTTATACTCGAGCAACCGCATCCCGTTCGCCCGCCATTCGAGCATCAACACCAGCGAATCCTCCGTTACACCCGGACAGCCCAACGTGACGTTCTTCCCAGCCTCGACGACCACATCCTCCACCAGCGAATTCATGGTATCTGCGAACATAGAGATTCGTTATGTTCGTCGCATGGCGAACGTTATCGATGCGATAAAAACATACGTGATCGCGCAGAATTGCCGACGGAATCGAGGAAAGCGAACGGTGCCGCGACGTATTCGCGGGTTTATCGATCCGGAATTTACCCGCGTCAGGACAATTTCAACGTGGAACGAATAAAATCCGGGAATAGAACTGGACGTTCGACGACTTTACAGCGCGCGTTATTTCTTCTCGCCTTCTCGTAAGATCGGGGTGTAAAAAAAAATTCTAAGCGTTAGGGATTGTTGTGTAAGGGATATCGACCCTCGCGTCGATTTTTTTCTTAATCCACTTCATTTTCCCCCGTTTCTCCTTTATTCGCATCAGCGAGCTTTAATATCTTTCAATCGCAAACAATAATCAATGTACACCAGCGCGAGAGCTACCCCGGAGTTCATACGCGGTAAACTATATTTCGCTTGAATACTTTAAGGGAGGGATTATAATATACGCGCGACTACGGCCCCAACACTAGCTTCCGATCGACTTTTAAAATTTCACACGGTCGGATCGTAATTTGCAACGCAAAATATACCCGGGCGAGTAAGCGCACGTTACGTCATATTGCATCGCGGAATTCTGAATAGCCGGGCATCCAATTTTCTTTCTAACGAGTTCAATTTTTTTTCCGCCTTTTCGATACACACCCGCGTACGCACTATTACTCGCTCCGGTCATAAAAAAGGTCATCGTAGGCTGAAAAGTTTTATGAAAATCCATGCGCGAACGAATCACGGGCAAGGATTTCGCGCACGATTTCATAAGCACTAGCGAGATATACGTTCTATAAGCATGCACTCGTACTGCGTATATCGCGAAGAACCGTGTGTCGATCGTCTGTGATAAAACCACGCTGGACATGACGATGCGGTAGATCGCGAGGTAATTCAGGAGATTCCCTCCGCAATCTCTTTGGAAAGCCCTCGGAAAGCTTTTACCGCGCGAGTTTTGCAAAATAGTATTCGAATCACGCGTGCGTATTCATACATGCAAGTTGGAGTCTTCCAAGCGCGGTCCTTTAGCTCATTCAGCCTTTTTCTCTTGCGATCGGTATAAATCATGCTCGTCTGTTTCTTTGAACGTTGTTGGACAAACATGTAATATTCGTCCATCTTTGCAAATACGATGACGAATTTGCCACAAGAAATGATGGTATTTTATAAAAATTCTTTTTTCGAGCTTAAATTTTTTTCCCTCGCGTGACAAATTTCCTTTTATTCTAGTGAATTATATTCTCCATTTATTCTCTTTCTTTATCTTCTATTCTAAAATTTATATGTCTAAAATACATTTTAATTTTTTTGGCAAGAATTCTTTCTTTCTTTAGAATACAAAGTTTACCTGAGCTATTATTTGTTTCATCTGCTAAAATAGAAAAGAAAATGTTGATATTATTTTATCTGCTTGGATACCACAGATTTAAAAAGTTATTTGATTTATTTTCTGATTGATATGGTCACTTTGATCGTAGTTAATATTAGAAATAAGAAGAAATAAGATATAATTTATGATTGTGAGTATAACACACACATACACATACACGTCTGAATAAATATATAAAATATTTTTCATATAGTGGTATTTTATAATCAATAAAGTGTCTTATAAAACGTCAAACGTATCAAAGACTTCCATTTTAGTTCATTAATCAATAACTCACTCTATCGTGAAATAGGGCACTTGAATTAGATAACAGGACCATTGATTAATTAAGAGATCTAAAATCAAATCGAAAGCAGTATATATTCTTAAATATTTCATTTTTCGATTGCGAATCTCATCAATCTTGCAAAAACGCTGCATGTCTACACATAGAATAAATTATATAACGTGCTTTCCTTTTATGCAGATGGTTGACAGATCAAGAATTTTAAGATATACCCCACTATATGATATACTATATATATATCGGTTTGGTTTAAAACTAAATTTCTTCAAAAGTAACATCAAAGTCACTCACAGCAAAATGAGTCGACTGGGAAACATTTCGTGTTGGAAGATATCTCAACGGAATTTTAAAGCACACGTTTCTTCTCAAAGCCTTCTGTATACTATCGCTAAAAACTCGGACTCCGTGCACTCTCTCTTGCTTAACGTCGCTACATTCCCGCCGATCCGCGGAAGCGTAAGCGTAAGGAATATATCCCGAGTCCTGTACCGATTAATACGCTACAATGCACTTTCATGAATAAAAAACATACTCAGGAAAGATAAACATTAACGAAAATGCGGCTCGAAACAAACGTTATGCTGTTTATCGAGCGCACAGGTCGGAGAAGTAATAACTGCAACGTCGTCGATCGTCTTTGATAGGCGTACATACAGAGTCAATCGTACATACACGGGGAAAATAAAGAAACGACGGGGGAAAAGTGCAACGAGAAGCATAAAAAGGAGACGGAGGAAACGCTACAAAATGCGTAGACGCAACGATTCGCGCTATAACGATTCTCGGTCAACGAGAATCGCCGTCGTTTATAGCAACGAGATCACTCGCAGCCACACTACACTCGTAAAATCCATGGTAAATCTCTCGAGAAAATAAAACTAATCGTGCACGTTTTAACGTACGCGATTGTTTCTTGCACGAGGCGCGAAAAAAAAATAAGAAGAATTCGTGAATAATCACGACAAACTTTTTCTCGCGAGCGCGATATCGAGAAAACAGTCTATTTCTATCGGCTTATCGGTTCGTTATAATTTCCTACGCCATTTCAGCGCGAATTCAGCGTATTAAACTTTCGTGAGCTAATCAGTAATTCTGTCGCCGACATGGAGCACGCAAAGCTGTATTTAGACGTCAATCGCGAGAGCTGTACACAGTAAAATAACAGCAGCGGATAAAGTATCCCGCATTAGTGTGTGTGTAACGTTCAACGCAAACTTAAAATGTAATCGATATATAATTTAGCGAACATATAACAAGAGGAGGGAAATTTCCGTAGATTGGCAAACGATTATAGCGCGAAACGTTTTCAAACTTTGAACTATTCTTTTCGTACGCTTAGTGAGGAAATGAGAGGATCGTTTCGCGCGCAAGTGACATAATATAAAAAGTTTCTCTGCAATGGATAACACTCGTTGTCATTTCGTATCGTGACAAAAAATGCACATGATCACCCTTTTTTGATAGACTTGCGCGCTTCACCGCAGAATCGAAACTTGGGACGCGATTTTCTCTTCGTATCCAAGAAAGAAGCTCTGCGCGCGCATCGGATTGTGCGAGGAGTTTCCGAACAGCTGCAACAGCAGCAGCCGAAGAAACGATGCAAACGCGCCTCATTACTTTTCGAACTTTGTCAAAAGTACGCCGTAAAAAGTTTCCATACCGATTCCGCCGCCGTGCTTACGAAAAACCATAAATTTCTCCCTCCGCCTCGGTCTTTCGCCAAGAGAGAGAAAGAGAAAAGCAGAGACGTGGCGTGATAATTTTTCGAATTTCTCGGCGCATTGAGTCGCAAGCACGAACGTTTTCCATTAGACGTTAATCACAGAAGGAATTAATGTTAATTACGGCACAAATCCCGCGTAATGTCTCGATTGTGACAGACTCGAGGAAAACGCGAAAATATTTATGCTCGCCAACTGCAAACTACCGGCCAATTATTTTATCCGATTCTCGAGCGCGCTCGTTAATTATTCCTTACAAAGTGATATTCGTTATATTTCCCGAGAGGGATTAGCGGAGGCAAACGGCATCTTGAATCCCGCATGGGCCTTGAAATTTGCTTTAATATTATAGGAATATTACGAGAGAACTTAATGCGCCTCTATGTCGGCGAAAGGAGGTGAGTTTTCAAACAGCTATCTCTTTCGTCGACATTGTGGGAAGAGCTATCATTATCCCAAATACTGTTTAACAGTTTCTAGCAAAGTGTTAAGAAAGAAGGCGCAAATTGCATAAACCCATTAAGTAAATGCAAATAAGAACAATACAATGTGGTACATATTATATTTAACAGTCGCGTTATTGTTAATAATAAAACAAATCGTTTAAATATCTCACTTAATATATATATATATATATATATATATATATATATATATATTAATAATTAATTTTAAGAATAAAGTTCTTCATCAAGAATAAAAAGTACAAAAATTACACATCATGCTTCATTTACGAAAAAACTAGATCAGCTACAAAAATTAATGAATCTACTATTATTTCGAAATTCATGAATTTGACATTGCACAAAGCATTTTTTTAAGCACAAGGCTTTTAAAATATAAAATTAATAATTAATTTGTGAATTAAAATAAAAATCTTTTTGGTAGAATTAAATTTTTATTTTCACGAATTTCTGTCTACAGTCATTATAAAAGAGTTAGTTCAAATAGAGAGATAATATATTATAAATATATTATATATTATGTATTATATATTATAAATATAAGATAATATTAATGATTTTGAAATTAAATTATATTCTACTGCTTTAAGTTATATACGCACAAATTGATTATTAATTTTACATCTTAAAAGTTTAAAAGTGTTTTATGTAATATCAAATTCATGAACTTCAAAAATATTAGATTCATTAACTTTTATAACTGTGGTTCGTCTAATTCTTCCTAAATAGAAGCAAATTAATATAATTTTTCCTTACCTCTATCATATATAATTTTTCTTTTAATTTAATTTTTTATAATACATATGTCAAATATATATATCCATACGTCGCGCAACTAGATTGTCCAACGACAGTATCATGATGCACACAGTGGCATCAGCAAGTGCAACAATCAACGGAATGTCCTCGACCTGCGACCGAGCTCAGGTCAGCCTAAAAATTGAATTTCATCCTCTTTTCCCCGGTAGAGGAGGACTCGGTACGCCGTAAATTAATTTACGCAAATCTTCCGCGGGCATGAATTTTTCCAACACTAATTTCCCCAGAAGCTACCACGCTCCGCGAGATACGGTCACACGGTCGAGGCAAGCCGTTACCACGG